AAGTCAGGTTAAGTAGTCTGACAATACAGATGCAAACTTCTCTCTGCCCCCATAAAGCCTGCCATAAAGGCAGATAGAGGACCTAATCATTAACAAATCAAGAAAAGTGTTATAGAATTAGCAATAATCAATTTGACTATGTATAAAATAGTCTTTGCCTTTCCAAGCTAGCAATTCTGTAATACATTTGTCCTATACTCCTACAACGTATTCAAATACAGTTGCAGCAATACATTCCATGCTGATGCTCTATAATACATCAAAGTTAGTAGTTTACTACTTATAGTTAAGTTTTAAGTTAACCAGCAGAATCCCTGTCCCAAATACAACTAGTAATGCAATCTTGACGGGACCTCCTCTCACATCCAAAATAGTCATTACCTTTCACAATGATTTAAGTGGAGCTATAAAATCAGAGCTGACAGGTTTGGATATAAAAAAGGGCAGACTGACTCTATAGGAGTGGTAGAAATGCATCAATTAATCAGACCAGTCTTCTGGGTAATGGCAAATTGAATAAAATATAGAATACTGCAACCGATAGTACTACAACATAGCTAGGAACAAAGAACACGAGTCACATTAGCATATGGCCATATTGAAAGGTTTTAGAAGGAAGGACATGGAAAAAGCTTAGCATGAGCCTCAGCACTGCACCAGGACACTTAAACACAGAGATGAGGAGATACAGATAGTACTTGAAAATGGTATTCCTTAGGAGTGCTTCATGACACAGCCAGCTTTCTCATTTTGGTGTTTACACATACATAAGATACAAAGAACTAGAAACAGATCAGAAGAAAGATCTAGCACACCAATATGCAGTTCTGAGTGGGCAAATGCCTATATCAGTTCAAAATTTTAATCTCTTAACCAGGAAAAGGCTGGTTAACCAAGAGAAGAGGTGCAGTCTGTCTTCAGAAGCAGGATTGTTGCTGCTAGATTAAACAATTGTCTGTTAAAGCCTATGTTAGACAATTTTATATATTATTAAATTGGCTGGCTGGGTTTTTTGTGTGTAGTTTGGTTTTTTTTTTTGAAAACAAAACAAAAAAAAAAAAGCCCTGCTAAAACCCAGAAACTTTGCTTATTCTTCATCACTTGACATTTCTGGACCAAGGTTTGATGTCAAAAAGACAAAAGTAACATTTACATAAAAAATAGGATCTGTGACCTTCATCGAGAATGGATCTTTCTGTCTTTAAAAATTTATGCCGGTATAAATCTCTGAATGTTTAAGAATATCAGGAGAAAAAGAAAGATAGATTAATTTTTTTCTCAAGGTACCAGGACAAATGCACCACAAGGTGAAGTATCAACACTATTCAGAGACTGTACAGTCTCTCATTAGAATTCTTATCCCCTTTCTCTACTCTCTAGGGAAACTCAGTGCCATTTGTCCACTTCTTTTCACATGTTTCAACATGTGGCTATTTGCTCTCAGCTGCCTTCTCTGACACTAAGTTAGCATCAGAGGTACACCCACAGTGCTGTTCTGTATTGGCATTTCCTTTACTTTGTAAATAAAAGCAAGGTCCATCCTGGCAAAAGCCTATGTCTACAAACATGACCTCCACCTTGTGTCACATGCAATGACAACATTCTTTTGTTTTAGACTCAGTTATGAGGACTGGGATAACTGCACAATTCTTATAACAATAATCTAGTTAATGTGCATAGTGATGTTCTTAGATGAAAAGAAAGAAATGGTATGCCTTCTGCTATCGCTGTCTTTGGGCAACACAAAGCTTTTGGGAGCTCCCAACAATTACAAACAGTCGTCTGCATTGCTGTACCACTCAAAGCCCATTACGCTAAGAGCTAAGCGCATAAAATAAGAACTGCAAGCACGCACGCACCTGCTTACCCAACTGGAGAAATGGATACCTAGAAAAACTATTCTGGAGACCTTCCGAGGAGTTCTCCAGAATATGCAACTGCACTCTAATTAAAGACATAGAGAACAAAGATGGAGGCAATTGTATAAGAACAATCTCTACACAGCCACAACAGCAGTTCTTGCAGCCAGTTTCAGTGGGACAAACTCTATTGGGAAGACATTAGCAGATACATTATTTAGTAAAAGAAAAGCACACTACTTTTAAAACAGCAAAGCTGGCAGTAGAGCTAGTGCAGAGAAGGCAGAAAATAATCCTTTTATGTACATCAAGAATTTCCACACGTTTATACAATCTCTGCATACCTTGCCAAACCTGTAATAGACGCTTAGCCAGTAAACAAGGATTAGTTTCTGGGTAAGAGAAACATCCACAAAGGAGATACAAATTTGTTCAGAACTGGCAAGGGAGGGCTCTTGTCTAAAAGAAACCACATTTCAGCATGCATGACGGTGTAACATGCCATGTTCCTTACACAGAAAAACATGGAAACATTAGGATTTGCTCTGGATCTCTTAAATCATTTCAGTAGGACATTTGGGGTTGAATAAAAGCAGAAAGCCAGAATGAAGCTGGGGAAGAAGGTCACTAATCCACGGCCAGGGCATGTTGAACATTGATTTGTCACAGGGAGAGCAGCTAGGAGGAATCTGTGGACAAGATAGAGTAGCTGAAGAAAGGACAGAAGGGCAGATCACATTCTGCTTATCATAGACCAAGAGGGAGAAAGCTGCCTTTGCACTTCAGGCTGTGCTTCTGGGCTTTACTGCGCACATCATTTCCAGACCAAAATCTGCAAGCCAGTTAGTTCTCGGTGACATTGCTCAACATGCAGAATTTTTTCAGCACTGTGACCGTGGCTTCAGTTCGTCTTGTCAAAAGACTAGTCAGCAGAGCAGCACAATGATCACACCTGAGCACCTGCCAAAAGACTAAGAGATATTAGTAATGCAAAGCAGTATGAAGGGATGTGCATTTTAATCTAGAGTTATTTGTGCACTGTGCCACAAACTCAGGTCTCCTCTTCCACGAGCTAACAGCAGCAACTACGGAAACATCAGCCTGCAACAGATAAGCACCTAAACATATTACATTTATTTCAGTCCATAACCCTGAATGATAAGCAATAGTCCATCCAGTAGGCTGACCCAGTGCTAGGAGATTCCTTTCCCTTCTCCCTATGCAAGCAAGTTAAGTGAAGATTAGTTTCCTTAAAAGCTCAAAAGAATATTTTAAAGTCTAGATGCCTCAAACATTTCCACCTGGTGTCAGAATGGCCTGTAAAGTTTAACAATGCTGCAAAGAAAGCAACTGGCCCAGCAGATTTCAGGTTCTCCATTATTGGAGGTTTTTGACAACAGCCAACAGAGACATGAATAATGGTTTAAAAATTCCAGTTCAAGATGGGGAAGAGTCTTCCAAAGACATGTACCCCATTTCCTTTTCCCATTTGCTCCAGTTATTGCAGAGCTTGAAAATAACATCCTTGTCTGATTTTGAACTTGAAATCCTATGGAAAATCATTAGTTATATCTGGCTTGTGTGTTACATTCATTCTTCTATAGTCACATAGAATTGTAGTATTTCAATGGCATCAGCATTAATGACTTTGCATACTATAACTATATGCCAAGGTGCAACTTCAGCACTGGAATTTCAGACATTTCTGCCTTTCCGGTTTCTCGCTAGTCTTAGGTGTTCCAATGATATATTTTTAAGCAAAAAATATTGGAGCAGTTAGCTGTGCAACTAAGCACATCGGCAGTCTTTTTTTGCCCTGATTTATATGTTCCAAAAAGCCTGGCTCAACACATTTGCGGCTAGTGAGAAGTCACAATACATTGTTTTGTGTAACTAATATTAAAAGTTTTTTATACTTCCCTCTACTCAGTGGGGGTGGGAAATAGACTTTTAGGTCTACCCCCCTTCAAATATACATTTGAAAAGAGAGACATAAACATACAGAGTCTGAGATCTAAGTGCTGTAAGAATAATCTTATAATAATTACGGCACTTAATTTAAGTGCTGTAAGAATAATGTTCTCCTAATACAATCCTTCTAGTCTCCCGATATATATGAAACAAACTGGTCTCATACTGAAGTTTCAGAACTATAAGTTCTTAATTGTGCAATGACAATACTAATTCACTGCCATGGCCAAATCTGATCTATGGTTATTTATAAAGTGCCTGCTGCTACACACAGACGCTGTAGATTATATACTCAAGCAATTTATGCCAGCAGCTTGTATTAGCAAAACATTCATTTGAGCATTCCAAGATGCTTTATAGACATAATTACTCAAAATGCATTTAAAAAATAGTAATAATAAAAAACCCATACATATTACTTAATGAGACAATTTGCAACTACACAAAAGCAATGGTTTTACTTCCAAGTCTTTCAACCTCAAAGTAAATAGCAAAAAAAAAAAAAGTTATTTCCTCCAAGAACTGCCCAGTTTATAGATATTAAACAGTTAGTGATATTTGCACAGAGTATGTCTGTGTATATGATATTAAAATATGGAAGCATCAGAACTCTGATCGTCTTTTGCAAAACTACAAGAAACAAGCTAAGAAGGCTTGTTCAGTTTGAAATATCCAGACTTTTCTAACAATGATCACAGCCTAAGGGCTACTAAAATTATTAGAAAAAACCCTAATAGCTTGATCATCACAGGTATTATCAAACCAAAGCACATAGCCTTTTATAAAAGGCTAATATTGTTTTGTAAGACTTTCCAGCGACTCCAAAGAACCACCATTAATTTTGATTGACAGCCACCATCTTCAAACCAAGCTGCCAGAAATTTAATAAGATGAAACATTTTGCCTTTACGTCAGGACTTTCTGCTTCTCAGGGGTTAAGCAGAAACCTGTGATTTATCGTCTGATAGTTTTTTACTAAATCCCAAAGGAAAAGACAATACACATTCTCTAAAGGGTCTGACTGCCACACCACCTTCTCCACAGGTTTTTCTAGTATTGCAGCCCACTCAATTAAACACAGTGTTTTAATCAGCTTTAACGGGGCGGGGGGAGGGAGAGAGAGAGAGAGAGATCAAAATGAGATCTTACAAGATGTAATCTTTGCTAGACATTCTGTGCTAGTGCCATGGACTTACTTTAAACATCAGTAATGTACACTTTTTGCAGTAACATCCAAAGAAAGAATATGCACTTTGTATGTTCATAAGAAGGTACGAAAACACCTCTCTAGGTTACAAACCTAGACAAGCAGTTATTCACTCCGATCCTTTGGCTCTCGGTATTTCCACTGGATATAGTCAAAGATGTCTTTTTCACATTCTACTGGTAGGGCCTCCCCAGCAACTCCTGCAAGCAAATTACAGATGCTATTTGAAAGATGGAAGGTCTGTACAATCTTGAAATGCCAAATGCATTGCAAGATTAAGACGAAACTGCTGTAAGTAAAACAGACTTAAAAAACCAAAACAAAACACCCCCCACGGACCTCTTCATACAGTGTTTAGGTACTGATCTCATTAGTGTCAATGGAAATAAGGTAATGAATTAACTTTGGGGCCACGTGGTTACGCAGTTTATATTTATATTCACATATATGTGTGTGTGTGTGTGTGTGTGTGGAGAGAGAGAGAGAGAGTCAGCCCCCCTCCAAAACAAAACAACTGAAGGAGGTGACATATCTTGTTAAAAGAGTGGGAAACCACATACGTGCTGTGCATGACACTGAAAAAACAATCTTTAGATCAGTAAGACTTTAAGTAGATTAGGTGGCCCAACAGCGCTGCCTATACATAAGTAGGCTGCCTCTTCCTGCTATAATGGTGTCCGATACCAGAAAGAACACTGAAAAATTTAATGAACTACAGTATTTACCAGAAGTATTTCCAGTACACTGAGAAACCAATTTAAGGAGAAGATCACATAAAGCATGTAACTAGAAAGAATACTCTGTACAAAGGCCCAGACTGACCAGTGACACCCAAGGGACGGATTGTATACTCATTGATCGTGAAGCCCATTTCCAGAGCATGAGTTCTCATGTTCTTATTGAATATATCACTTCCTGTGAAATACAGTACACCACAGTAATACTGATCTTTGGGGATAAGCCTAGAATAAAAGTGGGAAAAAAGTACAGATTTAGAACAAATACATAACAAAAACATTACAAGCCATTTGGAATTCAGCCATTCAGACACTGTTCTAGGTTTACGTCCTATTTACATGCACACATTCTGCACAGTTGATTTTCCCACAAGCCAGATGCAAGAATGAAACGAATTGCGTATCAAAGAAAGGTTCAGCACATCTCCCCTGACCCAGAAATTACTGGTGTTCAGCCACTACATGGTTATGGTGCTTGCACTCCTGCCAAGAATCAGTGCCAAAGCAGTATGATAAAGTAGGTCACAATTCTGAAACTGGATACAAAGTCATGATTTAAAATACAGCATTCTTGCTAAGAACCTGTTGTAGATACTGGCAGTTTACAGTGGCTTCCATACTGCAAAGGAATGAGAAACCTAGTAAATGCCATGTTCTGAATGTGGAAGTAGAGATTTGAATGCAGAACTTGATGCAAATGCCTACTATGTAGCAGACAGCTAAAGTAGGGGGTTTTTTGTTTGTTTTGTTGGGGATTTTTTATTTTTTGTGTGTGTACCGGATATCAATTCTCCTATGTGGATAGGCTGTTCCATCTTCTTTATCTGGCAGCTGACAGACACCCTGTGAGGAAGTAAGGAAAGCAAGAAATTAAAAATGAAACTAAACAGATTTCAGATCAATCTTCACCTCCCCACCCCTAAACAATCCTCAGTCATCCTGGAGAGCAAATATTAAATATTTTACTGGAATAGCTGGATGTCATAGTACTGTGAATCACTATTTTACAATGCTAAGAGGACCGTAGTTCAATGTAGCATATAACTGCTTCTTAAGTTTTTATTACAGCAGGAAGGATCACAGGACTTCTCACTTCCCATTCCTATGCCCTAATTATTATCAGGCTCTTCAGTATGCACAAACATCAGCAGGTTAAGGAAAATGCAGACGAAGCTCAAGCTAATAGAAATTAAAAAAAAAAGTTTTTTCTTGAGAAATCCTCTGCGACTTTTCATTTCAAACTGCTTTGTAATCTTCATGCAATTCACGTATCAGCCTTTTCTTTTTTTCCCTAGTCTACGATCACCTGAAATGACAATGCAGTAGGGGGGATGGACATGAACCATAAGGAATGATGAGAAATGTTTACATACTAAACCGTTTCACCAATTGCAGCTTCATGCTGAGACTTCTCCTTCTATTCTTAGCTTTGTTTTGAAAGCTTAACACTGCTTATGCTTTTAAAGTTATGTTGTCTTTCTCCTTACCGAGACTTGCTTTTCTCAGATTCCAAGCTGCAGTCAACATTCCTTTCTTAGCTTCCACTTTGAAGAGCTATTCCACAACTATTTAAGACTGACAGGATGTCCTGGTCTCGGCTGGGATAGAGTTAAATTTCTTCCTAGTGCTGTGTTTTGGATTTAGTATGAGAAGAATGTTGATAACACGCTGATGTTTTCAGTTGTTGCTAAGTACCTTGTCAAGGACAACTATCCTTTGCTACCAAGCTAGACTGGGAGGAGGGAGCACAGCCAGGACAGCTAGCCCAGCTGGCCAACAGGGTATTCCATACCATGTGATGTCATGCTCAGTATATGAATGGTAGGCATGATCCAGGAAGTAGCGATCGCTACTGGGTTATCGGTCAGCACGGGTGGTGAGCAATTGCATTTTGCATCACTCATTTTGTATATTCTATTATTATTATTTTCCCTTTTCTGTTCTACTAAACTGTTTTTATCTCAGCCCACGAGTTTTTCCTCACTCTTACCCTTCCAATTCTCTCCCCGTCCCACCGGGGAGGTGGGGAGGAGTGAGCGAGCGGCTGCATGGTATTTGGCTGCCTGCCAGGTTAAACGACGACACAGGATTATACACAGTAAATGGTCAAAGTATAACAAGCTTGTTGAACTGTGAATGCAAATTGGGAATGCAGAGTGTCTCTGCTTTTGGCTCACAGATGTACATTTAGCTTGAAACTTATACGGTATTCACACTTAAACCATTTGGCAAGAATGAAAGCGACTTTCACTTATTCCTCCTAAAGATCAAACCAAAAAAAAGCCATCAAGTTTCATTCCCTCTCAGAATGCAACACAAACTAAACGGAAGACAAGTTCTCAGAGTTCTTTTAGCTCTTATTTTAAGCAAAACCAAACCAACAAACAAAAAAATAAAATAATCAAGTGCTCCAACAGCCCCTTTAATCTTGGGAAGGCAAGTATCTTTAACTGTAGTATTATATAGTTAAGCATTTATGCCTTCCAAAAGATTAGCTGAATATAACGGTATCTTGATTCTCGAATAGAAATTCGTAAGTCATGGACCTTTGGTGAACCCTCCTGCAGGACCACTCCTCTGAGCTTCCAAGGAATTCCATAAAGCCAGTATGAGTGACAGGAACTAACCAGTCCTCATTTCCACTCAGTATTGCTTATGGTTCTACACTTCTCTGTTAGAATTAACTTTTAACCAGCCTGTAAGACCAGGATACCTGGGGCCTGTAAAGAAAATTAAGTGAAGCACGATAACACCCAATCCACATGTTTAAGAAAGAAAAAAAGTTTTGCTGTGAGCAAGGGACCTAACAAAATGAATGTTCCTGTAATTCACTATTTCCTTTAGGCATCCCACATATTCCCTATTATATCCTGAGTCTAGCAGCTTATCCCTTAAATCTGCTCTGCAACAAAATTGACAAAAAAGGAGACAAAAGTATATTATGTATTAGACAAAACAAGGTAAACATAGGCCTGAGATAAAAGATAGTGTTTCCAAGATCTTGAGAACAGTTACAAAAGTGGTCACTGGTGCAACTGAAGAAGTGAGGTTGTGCTAAGGTTCTGGAGAAACATCAAGCAAAACAGAGACACAATTGGCATTGTGTGATGAAGGTTATGTCAGTGGGGTTCAGAACTACATAAATACCTGTAGATTTTCTAATATTGAAATCTTACATGACAGAATCACTAAGAGTTGACTGGAGAAAGTTTTTATGAGGAGAAGGGGAGAATTAAAAACAAAACAAAACCAAAAAAAAAAAAAAAACACCTCACCACAACTCCAGCAGTCCAAACAACATACCTTGTATACATCCTAGCTTCTGTCAGGAAAGATAATCCCCCCGCAACATCCCTCACCACCAAAAAAGCCTTACCATGAACTTGGTGTCACCTTTAGACAGCATATCTGTGACAAAGTGGACTTTTTCCAGTTGTTCTACAACTTGACGCAGAAGTTTTGACTAGGAACAGTGACAACGCAGAAGAAGAAATTATTTCACAAATAACAAGAGTATCTCACCCATTTACCAGACAATGGCCCACATAAGTACAGGACATCACTATAATTATATGTATTATTGTACATGAAATTTGACCCAGAGGGGAAAAAAGATAACAATAATACTGAGAAAAAGCTAATGAAATTACAGTTGTGCAACGTAAAAAAAAATTTCCACCGAAATCCCCATGTCAGATTGCTTTATTTGGAAGTGACAAAACTCATTTCTTGGTTTGAGTTTTCAACTTTTAAGCAATGAATCTATAGAAGCAACACAAGAAATACAAACTGTCATTAAGACTTCTCCAGAGTTAGTCCCAAAAGATTACAAGGGCAGCAGGACATTAGCTTCTCATCCAAAAGATTATGGCTACATAAACAGATACTCACTCTACCTTTAATCCCTGCTTTATTCAGCTAGTTGTTACAATTCTACCTTGTAAAAGCACATGAATTCGAGGAGGTGGGGGTGGGGGGAGTGTGTGTGAAGGGAAGAGGAGGGACAGAAGGATAAGAGTAAACACACTGAATAGTTCTGCAAGAGGAACACAACATAATACATGGACCTGAGAAGTGATTATAACTCCTCAAAATAAACACAGTGATCCAAGAGAAGAGTTTACTATTACAGTAACAAAAAGATGCAAGAAGCTGCAATACAAGTCTGAGACTACGTATCTTCTGAATTTAAACATACCCTTGTGGAAGTAATGCACAGTACTGATCCACAGTAGCAGAAAAACACACCTGTTTGGATGATTCAGATGTGAAACTTGGATGGGTTAGGAGAACATCCATATCGCCGCTTGACTCTGCGCCTAGGCAAGTAAGAAGCAAAGAAAAATCCCTATGCGTATGACAAAGTATACTAATATTGGTGAACATCCTTCTAACCTCTTCCTATAAACATGTTTTTCTGGTAGAAAATAGTCAGTCACTATTCAAGATATTTGCGAAAAAACAATCTTAAAGCAAGAGAACCTTGTTTTTCCATCAAAAAGTTTATATCCCCACATATCTCAGAAAATACCTAAGAATTTCTTGCTGTACTCTATAGCAATGAAACACAAATGTTGTTAATGTAAAAACAAAGCAAACAATTCACATGTTACAATATACTACTCTTTATGGGGGCAGGGTGGAGAAGCAAGAATTTATGCAGGTGTTTTGTCACTGAACTAAACCAGTCAAGACAATACTAACAGGAAAAAGCCAGGTTCCAGCATAGACTTTCTCTCCAGAAGAACAACATATATAGTAATGAGTCTTGCTTATTAACCCAAAATAAACATAACAAGATCACAGAGTACCAACCTCGTCTAAAACTGCCACAGACTGTAGCAATATAGTTTGGGTCCAGCTGCTTCACCTCTTTCAGCACAATTTCCTATGTAAAAAGGAAAGATGTGTGTTTAGAGGTGTCAGTCAGTGCCTCACATCCTCGATAAAGACATTCTTACCTGCATTTGCAGCATTTCTTCCCTTGGGATTCTTTTCTCAAAATCTTCAAAATATCTACATATATAAAAATAAAAGTGAAAGAGTGGCAAGGGTAGCATCTTAAAATTTTAGTCAATTAAATGTGTATCGGAGGAAAGAATACAACTTATGTTACTGTCACATCACAAAAAACTCCCATTCTCACCAAACATCTTAGAAAACATCTTGCCAAGCGATAGTAAAAACTCACAACTGCAAGTTTGACAATGCTTAGAAGATGGTTTCATTGCATATTATTTCCACTGTATATGAAGAGCTGCTATGAGGAGGGAGTAATATCACCATATAACCAATTGGTTTATATTTACATAGTCCTCTGAAAATACAAAAGGTTCCTGACAAAACTCAGTCCACCAGCAAGCAGGAGGAACGGGTCCCTCACCCATGATCAGAGGTGATCTATGTTAGAAAGAGCAAAATGGAAGCTCACAAGTCAAATACAGCTCCTGATATCTTTGCATGCAGCTGTAAAAAAACAGACTACCAGCATGCTGCTTGACTGTGGAGAAAAAGAAGCCAGGTGAAACAATGATGCATCTGGCCAGCAGGCACATTCTTCACCCCTCCAGCACCAGAACCATTGACAGCAGGCACTGGCAGCCATACTGCAGGCTCGGAGCCACATGTTCGCTGACACTCATTACCCAACCATCCCAATCCCAAGCTCTGCAGACAGAGCTTCTGGATATGGGACTCCCCCCCACCCCTGAGAGCTGCAGTGGAACTAGGGACAAAAAGACCACCATAGAGCACTGAAACCATTCTTTCAGCTCAGCTGAAACAACAGATGTTGTTCTGAAACAACATCTGAGCACAATGCTGGAAAAAGACCCAAGGGCAATGTGTGCACTAGCAACATGGATAGGTCAGGTGAGTTTTCTTATACTCACTTAACAGTGAAAGGTTTTCCCTTGAATGCTCACACGTATAAAGGCAGGGACGCACACTGGGTATGGGGCTCAGATGAGCAGTGGGAAGGCAACAATCATTGTGTAATCCTTCTCACTCACTGGCAAGCAGTTTGTCCAGATCACATATTCCGCATCTCTGCCACTGATGTGGAAATGCTAGAGCGGGCCTCACACAGAACCAATTCAGATATAGGGCTTTATTTGGTTCACTTGCAGCTTCTTGCAAACACAGCTATAGTTCTTCCAGAACTAGCATATTGGAACAGCCACTCAGCAAGCAGCATTCAAGCTGGTAAGTATTGAGGGACAGACACACATTCTGCATGGCATTCTCACGTTCAGTCATGCAAAGGTCTTATCTTGCTCATAGCACATAACAAAAAATAGCCTGGGCCACTTTTATGCAGATTCCGAAGAAACATCATTGTAACCTTGCTGAAGCGATTCTCCATGAGCTAACTGAAAAAGTAATTTGAAATTAATTTCCTTCTGGATGGAGACTAGGCCTACTGAATTTCAACCCAAATGGGGTTTGATGGGGGGGATGATGATGATGATCTTAGAGGGACTCAAAGATCTCAGAGGTCTTTTCCAACCTTAGTGATTCTATGAAACAAAAGCTCTGAATAACTGCTGAAAAGCATGTAGGGCACACAGAGAGAACGGAACCTTACTCGGCCTGTGTAACCTTACATTACATCCTGGCATCTGAAGGAGTCATTAGAAAAGCCAAGCATTTGCACCCAAGAAAGCTTACTTCAACCCAATTCGCTGGTGATGGGTCAGCTTGTGCTCATTTTTTCTTAGATCTAGAAGAATTGAGAAAAACAAAAATAAAAGTTACTTGAGGACTAAAAATCTTACAGTAAGTTTCCACCAATGCAAAGATGATGCACGCAAAGAATACGTAACAAGAAAACGGCAAACTCAAACACAAAGGAAGAGATTTTAAACTGACTACTCAACAGTGACAGGATGAGTACGAATGCATAGAGCACTTCCCAATAAAGACTTCAATAGACCATTCACCTCAAAGCCAAAATCCTTGTTATTTTCCATGTAATCTGTAAGTACTTTACTTTGGATATGTATGTAACGCCTTTAGCCTGTGCACTAACTTTAGCATCTTACACACTTTCCTCAAAGCCTAGGGCATATCTGCTATCACAGTACCACTGTGGAACGGGCAGCTGGACAGGAAAAAAAACATTATTGGAGTGTGAACTGAGGACCCAAAGTTACACTTACCTTCTAAGGTCTTAATTCCTTCCTCGACAAACTTCCTAGCAGCAGCAGGACTGCAAAGAGACAAGGCAATCTGCCATCAGGAACAGCAAAAATCTTACAACATTGAAAAGGACATTAGAATTCACTATAACTGCCTAAGTTCTTCAAGGCCAAGACTGAAGTCGCTTCTGATGCTTACCCTCTTTTCAGCATACACATTTTCAGTTCGTACTTTCAATCAGAAGAAATGGTATCCAAGGCTTGGCCTGCACATTTTTTAGCATTGATATAACTATATAGTGATGTATAATTGTAAAAAATAAACAAGCAAAATCTCACCAAATAGGCAATATTGCTTTAGACAGCAATACTGAATGCATGATAAGAACTATGTTAACCACAATCAGTCTCTGAACCAGCTTAAGGCAACAGCAACATAAAAGTGTCTTTAGACTAGCACTTCAAGAAACCCAGCAAGGCTCCAGTTTGCAACCTACAGTACAGCAAAGCAGTCGCAGCTCCAGTTTCGCTGGAGAGTTTGCCTTAAGCACAACATTCAAGTGAATGGCTGAACCTTTTTCCCCTTTAAGGGTTTGTCATCAGATCAATCTGCGTGATTCTGGGAGGAAAGAACAACGTTTCAACTGTGAGGCAGGCATTCAAGTAATGTTATATCCAGATACCTATCCAATATCTCAAAATGCTGAGAACCACCAGCCTGGAAGCATAGTCCCTTCCTGGGGAACTACTCTCCAACTACTCTAAAATCCCACAGGTACAGCTCCACCACTCTTGAAGACTTTGAATCCACTTCCTCAATAAAACTCTTACATTACAATAGGATTGTCAGATCTTGACCTGCCATTGACTTCCTTTCTTACTCTTCCCTGCATCTCTTGCCGGATTCCAGACGAAGAGAGGCAACTTCCACTGTCCTGAGACAAGACAGCACCCAAGCTTCTCCTTCTACATCCCTTCCCAATTTCTCAAAGGCATTCTCAAATCCCAGTATATCCGCAAACTTTGAGCACATTTTGCCTCAGAATTACTTGAGAATGATCGCAATCCCTACCCTCAATCTCAAGGGTTTCAATCGTTGCACAAGAGCCCTGATGGTTTTTTTGGATTTTTTTTTTTCTCATTTGTTTTTTTTTGTTTTGTTGCCTGTTTCAGGGCTCTACTGCTCCTTTTACAAACACACAACAGAGCACCATTGCCCCTGGGCCCAACCTCCCACCAAAAGTCCCAAAGGGATTTCTCGCTTCCACTCTTTTCAGTCTTTCACGGTTCCTTTCTTGATTAGCTCCTCTCTCCTTCCCCTCTCAGCTTGCACACAGGAGCTTCCCACTTCCACTCTTCTACTGCAAAGTCTGTAATTGACGATTCTCTATCCTTTCTTCTCAGCCAATCGTGCCATCACAACTATGGTGTCTCAGCGTGGGCACTACAGCATCAGCTCAAACTCATTCCCTTCATTATTTGCGATAACCAAAATTCTGTTCATAACTTCACCAAATAAACAGGAGAAGGAAAAAAAAAAAACCCAAAACCAAACAACAAACAAACTTTACCCAATGCCAGTAACTCGTGTCAGGAAATTGATAGATGCGCTTGTATCATCTTGTCGAATCTGCAGAAACAAAACAACACAAAACAAACCCTTCTTTACTCCATTTGCAATAAACAAAGAAATCTTGAGAAAATAAAACAGCTTAGCCAGACTCTGCTTTGGAGGCTCGCTATAAATCAATGCAAAACAGTACCAAGGATAGTACTGTGTATCTCAGTAATGCCCTATGTACTGAAAAAAGCCTGAAAACTGCCTAACTACCCATGCTAAAGTGCACAGCATGGTTAAACCACAAAACTCCAGAGCCTTCCAGAGGCAGAATTCCACTTCTCACAGAAGACATTCACATGCTGATTATATAACCTAAAATATTTTCATAAATAGATGGTTTGGAGGCCTTGGCTGAACTTCTTGTTCTTTCTACTTGCCATAGACTCCATGTCCACCATTCTTAAGCTCGACATCAGTCTCTCCAGAGACAAAAACAGAAATTGCACAAAGCAAGCAGGCTACTTTGCAAATTACAAAAAAAAAGCAACTATTGAGAAATAGAGCATAAGGGAAAGAAACCCACCTTTTCCAGTTTGCGTAGTTTTCCAGTGGATAAGAACTCATCTATCTTGTCAGCTATTTTAGCACCTACTCCATCCTAAATGTTGGGGCGGGGGGTGGCGGGGACGGGACACAAGTTAACTTCAAGATCACTTAAAGCCATTATATCTAGAAAAAAGAGAAAGCTCCCCAGAATTTAGAGTCCAGAAAGAACTATGAGGCCACTGAGACCATGATAAAATATTGGACTGTAAGAATTCAAGGGTACAACACAAGCAGCATAAACACTGTAATTCAAGGGCTATATTAAAAGTTCCCCCAAAGCAATAATTTTGAACAAGGCTTTGATTATTACTGCTCAAGTTCCCC